CACCCTCGCTCTCATTTTTCTGCAAGATCGTGGGCCTTTCTACTCAGTCTCTCTCTACGCTTCAGTTTCCTCCCATTCATAATACCTAGTCATAGGACGGTGAGGATGAAAATGAGGTGGTATATGGAGAGGCGCTTCCTGTAGTGCCTGGCATGACGAAAGCACTTATCCATTCATTCATTCAATAAATACTGGGTATCTACTGTTCCAGGGACTGTGTTGAATGCTAAATACACAGGAGTCAACAAAACTGACATGGTTCCCATCCTCGTGGAACTTATGTTTTGGAAAGAATGGGAAATATCGAGCAAATGAACAGACAACTGAAGTCTAGAGTGATCAACTGTACATATAATTTGAAGAAGAAAACTGACTTCTAAGATGGACAAGTGGGAGCATCTAGTTTGGTGGGGGCGGGAGAGGAGGCACGTAGAGAGGGACCCTCTGAGGAAGTGGTAGTGAGCTGAGGCCTGAAAGTCAAGTTGGAATCAGCCAGATGGAGGAGTGGGGCTGGGTGGGGAAGAGAGTCCCAGGTAGAGGGAACAGGGCCTAAAGCAATAAGAGGCCTGTGCATTAGAGGAACTGAAAGAAACTTCGGTGTGACTTGACTGCGGGGGGCGGGGGGCGGGGAGAGGGGGGATTCAGAGAGACATTGGGGAGAGGTTTTAAAAGTCAAAGGTTTAGAGAGGTCGGGGAGAATGAGAACCGAACGGGACCCAGGGATCTAGCAAGTGGGAGTCCCCCGTGACCCGACCAGTGAGGGAGCAGGCTCACTGCAACGCGAGGGTGGAAGCCGGGTCGCACAGGATGAAGAGGCAGCGTGTGGGGAGGAAGTAAGGAAGAGAAGGAAGTGAGCAAATATTCTTTTTAGAAGTATCATGACGAAGGACAAGAGAAAGTTGGGGGAGAATGTCTTCTTTGTTTATTTTTATTTTGGATGGGGGAATTTGGGGGCATTTTTCTACTCTGAGGAGAAGGATCCGTGGACAGAGATGAAAGACATGAAGAGAAAGTAGGACCAAGTCTGTTGGTAGGAGGCCTCGTTCCCATGGGTATTCTGCCCACAAAATAGAAAGTGGCAGACTCTGGTGTCTTGATAGGCCCACTGGCCCAAACAGTGTGACTTATGTAAGCCCTAGCCTCTCTTGGTTGTTAGAGTCTCCTTGCAAAATGTTCAAACAAATTTGGTATTCAACGACTTTCACCTTAAAGGAAGTTTCTTCCAGAACCTTCTGATGTAGTCCTACCTGGGCTGACTGAGCTCTAGGCTTGCTGCACAGCCGTCCCCTTCACACCCTAGGGGTTCCCTTCACCTGTCGGGTTGGATGCTCTGGTTCGTGGATTCCACGTCTTCCTCTTTCTGGATTTACTCTGTTATTCTGATGGACTGAATCCTCCAGTAATTTCCTAACGAAGAGGGCAGGGAGGATCTCACAGATGCCATCCGTGCCCTGCCCATTCTGTCTTGGCACCTACCACACCCATGCATTCTAAATTATCAGCACCAACATCTCTTTGCCCGAGGGCTTTTTCTGGCTCAGGAATCAACCCCTCCTCCCTGTCAGCAGCCCTTAACCAACGACTGACAAGAGTTAGTAGGTAAATACCCCAGTTTCATCAGGCCTATTTTACAGGGGTCTCCAGAGTGCCTCAAAGGAATCGAGTTCCAGCTGTTCTCAGTCACTAGCCGGATACTGGCTCCTTGATTCATCCCCCGCTGCCTTATGGGTATTCCCTGGACTCACCTCCCACATAAGCTACTTTTTCTCTTACATCTATTTTTCCATCTCTTATCTTTTTGCTCTACTTTCTACTTTCCAAATCTTCTACTGTTTTTTTTTAAAAATTTCCGCAGTCATATTTAAATTTCTAAGATCTCTTTTTTTGTTCTTTAAATGTTCTTTTTAAAAAACAGCATTTTTAAAAATTTCATGTATGTAGTATCTGTCTTATCTCTCTGAAGATATTAATAAATTTTTGTTTTCTTTTTCTCTCAGAGATACCGCTGTTTTCGAATGATCTTCGAGACTCTTCCCGCCAGCGTGTCACGTTCCCAGAGAAAGGTATCTTAATCTCCTGGCTCGATGTCAGGGTTGTATGACTAATGTAAGAAAAGGAGGCAGGGTGTCTCTAGGTAATGTTTTTTCAGTATTTTGTCCTTTCACACAACTATGCCTGGTCTTCCCTCTGACTTACTCTCCCACTGTGAGAAAAACCTCCATTCTTTGGTCACTGTGTGGAAGGGGCTGTCTGCCTAACAGCAGCAAGGAGAAGAGGGGGCCTGGGGACTTCGATCTTCTCAAACTGACTTTCGACTCATCCTACTGTTTTCAGCCACAACTTTACCAGCAAAGTACTGACAACAGTACCTCAGCCACCAACTGCTGAGCGCATGGAGGATTCTGAAACGTAAAGCAAGTTGGATTCAGCTTCCTTGGGTCTTTGGATTCAGTTACCACTCAATTATCTGCGTTCCAGCTTTTAAAATTATCCTGCTCTTGGCCCTTTCAGATTCTCTGTCCTTGTTGGTTTATTCTTTAAAAAAAAAAATCCTTTACCTAAATTCTTACTTGCTTACGTATGCATCAAGAAACTCTAGAAACACATAAGACTAGTAACAGAGCTTGGTCGTGGAGGGGAAGAAGGTGGGACCTGGGCCAGTGGAAGGCGTGGGTGAGGGAAACTTTTTGCTTTGTGCCTTTTTCCAATTTTTTTTTTCTTTTCTTTTCTTTTTTTTTAAGTTTTAGAACCATGTGAATGTATTACTTCATCAAACATTAACTTCCGATGGAGTTCTAGGAGGGAGTAAAACACAATGCATGTGTTTATTCTGCTCTCTTTAACCAGAAATCTCGAGTGCTGTTTTTCTAAATTAGCAGCTTCAATGTTGAGACCATGAGAAGCTTCCCAACCAAGAGCCATTCTAAGCAAATTCAAAAGCCATAAACAAAAATATGGACAAATTCGACTCCACCAAAATTAAAGATTTCTGTGAGAAAAAAAAAAAAAGAAAAAAGAAAAGAAAAAGAAAGAAAAGAAGAAAGTCAGACACCAAAAACAAATTGGGAAAAAACTGTTTAAAACAAATATGAAAAACGGCTAGTTTCCTTAAAATATAGCGTTCTCACAAAGGAATTAAAAACAGATCCAAGTTTAATAGAAAACAATAGGCAAAGGACATAAATAGAACACTCTGGTGAATCAACACAAATAGCTTTTAAACACAAGAAAGATGTTCGACCATACTCATAGTTTTAAGAATGACCATTAAAACAATGAGAGACCATTTTTCACTTATCAGAATGGCAACATTATAAAAATCTGATTCTAAATATTGATGAGGTGAGGCTATGGAGAGATAGGAAGTCTAAAACATTTTAAATACGATTAAAAGTTAGTGCAGTCTTTTTGTACTACAGTTTGGTACTATCTGTCAAAATTTTTAAACTTACACCCTTTGACCCAGAAATTTATCCTATGAGTATGCTTTCCCGGAGCGTGAAGACATATTTAAGACATACTGATAAAGATACTCATTATGGCCTTATTTGTAGTCACAAAAACTGTAAGCAACCCAACCGTTCACAGTAGGAGACTAACTGTATAGATCATAGTGTATTCGTTCTATACACTGTATGGAATACTCTGCAGACATTAAAAAGAAAGAAGCACCTTTATGTTTATGGCATAATCTCCAACGTGTATTGCTAAAGTTTAAAAGCAAGATATGAAACACATGTGTATGGAATGACCCCATGTGCGTCTGATAGTTTTTCAAGTGTTTTTTCTTAGATACATAGACATGCTCACATACACACAGAATATCTCCGAAGGAATAAATAAGATACTAGCAGTTATGGCTACCTATAGAAAGGAGAACTAGGAAAATAAGAGGTCAAGAAAGGGAAGAAAACTGGCTTTCCTGTTTCTTAAATACATTTTTTTTTTTTTTTTTTACTTTTTCTCTTTTAACCAAGTGCATTTTTTTAGTCATGGGTTTTGGTTGCAAGCAACAGAAACCAACTCTGGTTAATTTAAGCAGAAAACAAATCTATTAAAGGGAACTGGATAGTTTACAGGTTCTCCAGGAGGGTTGGAAACCGGGGTTTAGAGGTTACATATCCAGAAACGACTTCTAGAATCAGGTTGCACAACAACTCTGTGAAGACATCAGTGCCTCCACCACATGGACACCGCTGCTAGGACAGTGGACATCCCAAGTCTGGATGCTGGTTCCTGCTCTAGAACCACCACCACTGAGGCATCTGGAAACTGAACGTGGCTATTACAACCAACGCCCCTCTCTGCGGGGCAGATCCTGGCAATTTGACGTGAGTAGTTCCTGAGTCAAAACAAAGTCCAGTACAGATCCTTATGCCTGTGCCTAGCTGCAAGGGAGGCTGGAAAATAAATTGCTGATATCTTCAGCTTCTATAGTGGGAGGTTGCCTCTGTATCTCATCAAGTCTCATAAAATGGGGAATGTTTCAAATATAGAGAGTTTAGATACCTGGGGCGAAGCAAAGGAGAGAGGGGTGGGGAAGAAAGAAATTCTCTCCTGACTCCTTTGAGACAAACTCACCTTCCCAGGTAGGTCTTTTCATGCACGATATTCAGAATCATAGGTCTTCAGAGTAGAAAGGTCCCTATAGGTTATTTGGTTTAGTGGTCTCGTTTCATCATGGAGAAATCCAGATGCAAGTTAAGTTTGGGGAAACTCAGGTTTCCCAAGATTACCCAGTGAGAGTTGCTGACATCATTAGGGTGTCCCAGTCTGGGTCCCTATTCTCCGCAGGACCTCTGTGTATAATCAACACTTCAGCAAAGGGTCTCAGGAAATATCAAGATGCAGATTTGTTTCTGGTAGAGCCTCTTCTTGAATAGCTGGTGTCATTTATTACAAATATTATGGAAACATTTATATAGGACTTTTAAGGTTTAAATTTATTTATTTATTTTTTAATTACTAAAAGTTTACTTATTAAAAACAAGCAAATGATATAGAAGAATTCAAAATATGGCAAAACCCTACCCTCATCTCCATTCTTCTACTCTCTAGGAAAAATCAACGTTAAAAGTATGGTGGGCATCTCTCAGTTCTTCTGTGTATATACACATATATTCCGATTTATTTGCAGATATATGTAACACGTATATAACCTTTTATAACTCTCCGTCTCACTCTACATGTACAATGGACATAACTGAGCCCCGGAGTGGCTGTGTGCCAGTAAGTTCCTGGCAGGTTGGAAAGCCACACACGAAGACACAGTGTCTGAGGAGGGGCTGTCACGCACCACGGAACGCCTGGTAATATGCTGATATTTTTGGTCCAGTGGGCCTCAAAGTGTGACTTCACCTCATGCAGAAAACTACCAACTTTATCTTCAAACTGCTGCAGAGCGTGAAGACACCTCCAAAGTCACCTAGTCCAACTCCATTTGGATATAGAGAGCTAATTCCTGGGAGGAGGGCGGGAGAAGGCGGTGAGGGGCCTTGTCCAGGGTCAGTCGGCCAGGGGCAGTGACGGCGTTGGAATGTCTTTCTCCAAGACCTTTGCTCATGGCGTTGCGCTGCACTGCTTTCTGCTGCGAGGGGGAAGCAGTGCTCCGTTTGAAGATGTTTGGGTGCTCAGACCACACGGTCCCTCGGACACCAGTGCTCCGAGGCCGGCGGGACGAGGTGCCCGCGACCTCGTCCATGGCGATGTGCTTCCGCATGCTATGGGCTTTATTAGCTTCCAGGAAGTCTTTTCTTTGGAACCACCTGTCTTGTACTCTTCAAACTTCTCATGGCACTTTGCCCTCTTTACTCCTTAAACAGAGCTGTATTATTTGCTGAGGACCTGGCAGAATGTACCAGATGGATGGTGACAGAAGGGAGAAAAAAAGACAACCAGGTTTATAGGCGCCAAATTCATTTATTCGGAGAATGGTCATTTAGTGCTGAAGAATGAGGGTGGGGGTGGGGTACGAATCAGAAGAAGATGTACCTCTTGCCTTCTGGGAGTTCGTTGTCTAGAACAGTTACCTCCAAGCTCTTTTCACTACCCCACTCCATCAGAAAGACTGAGCATGTTCTCCCAATAATTGCATATTTATTATAAACGAGATGTGCTCTGCGGTACTAATTTTTAAATATTGGCAAAGCGTAATGTTCTCAATGTTTTAGCATAAAGAATAAATAGAACAAGCGTTCACTTGCTTTCTTCCCACATCTCCCTTTGTCACCGTGGGCACCCCACTTCAGAGCCCGCCGTTCTAATGGGGGAATCAGACGGACACCCCACAGCGCTGTGACACAAGATGATGTGAAGAAGGCACCGACTCAGGGTTGGCAAAGTATTCTTAGAGCATCGGGATAGCGTCGCCAAAGGAAAGGGGAGATGAGACTATACGGAGACGTCTGGGCTCAGGGCTGGGGTCAGTGCCAGGCGCCGTTTCTAGGCTGGTGTCCATGCAAAGACCCTTGATGATGAGACTGCGCGTGAGCGCCTACCTCTCCGGACCTCAGTCACGTGAGGGCTTCATAAATACCACGTTAGGGACGGACACCCGACCCACGGCCCAGAGCCACCCCTGACAGCAAGGGCCCTGGATGTGGAGTCAGGGGCCTGGGCGAACCCTGGCTCTCTCACTAACCTCTGCAGCCTTCAACCGCTGTGAACCTGAATTTTCTCATCTGTAAAAAGGGAACGAGGAATGTCTTCTGGGACTGCTAACGATTCCTAACCTAACATTTGCCGAGCTTCTCATCGTGCCAAGTGCATCCCACGCGTCATCTCGTGAAACCTTCGTGACGACATGATGAAGGCGACGCTATGACTGTTCCCATTTCGCAGGCAGGAACGGAGCTGCAGAGAGAGGAGACCATTTGTTTGTATGGTCCACGCAGCTGGAACATGCAGAGCCCGAGCTCGGAGGCTCGCTGGACTCTGGAGCCCATGCCCTGCCCCACTCCGCTGGGCCGCTGACCCCACAGGCTTCCTGCGGGGCAAACAGGGACCAGGAGCAGCGAGGTGCAAACACAGTACTGTGACACAGGGCGTGAGATGCAGTCCCTGTCCTCGAGTCTAAATGCAAAACGTGCTTTTCTACACGGCCCTGAAGCTCAGAGAAGCAGGATCCGGTTTAAAAGAAAGGTTTAAGAGAAAGAGAACTTTAAAGTTAACGTCTATTTTAAGTCCCACAAAGCAGTGTGGGACAACCTGGGAGGAGCAGCAGGTTGGGATAAGGCCGTGGGCTCCTGCGTACCCTCTGACTCCAGGTGAGGTTTAAGCTGGGGTTACTCAGCTGTTAGGGGCCCTAATCAATGAGCTCCTCAGGGTCTTCTTGTCTGATTATCCACAAACTCCATCCTCGACAGGCGCTGCAGTGAGGACTCTCCCTGCTGTCCCAGGAGAGCCCTGGAGACGGGCCCGAGGCCGGGGCCGTGCTGCTCAGGTTGGCGAGGGCCCAGCTCGGACAAGGCCTGCGGGGGCGCCAGGGAGGGTGAATGGGACGCCGCCAGAGCTCCATAATTATAAGGACACACTGCAGAGGACGTTTCTGTTGTGGTCGGTCCCTCTGTTTACTTTGGGCAGTTCTGTCCTTTCTGAGCTGACCTTCCCAGCTGAGATCGCCCGTTGTCAGCTGGGTAAAGCCAGAGCCTTGCAACCTATGGGGTGTTTGAATCCTCTGTGGCTCCGTTGTTGGAGGGGGGCCAGGGCAGCTGACCCCCCCCTTCAGGGAAGTGAAGCCAGGGCTGCAAACTTGCTGACAGTGGCCGGAGGCCTGCGAACCCAAACATCCTCCCTTCTTCCGCCTCAGCTCCGTGTAGCAATGACAAGAAAACAAAGCCACGAGCTTTCCAGAGCAGGGGAAGGCTCCAGCCACTCCCTTCCAGCCGTTCCCTCCTGCCTTTGGCTCACAGCCACGTGAGGACAAGGTTATGGCCACAGCTGAGAAGTGCTGACGTCTACATTTTGGTTGTTGCTTAAAAAAAAAAACAAAACCAAAAAAAACCCACGCACACGCTCTCCTTCATGGCTTAGAGCTTCATATAGTTGATGCAAACCCTTTGCTTTGTTGTGTGTTCTCGAGTTCGAATGATATGAATGTGGTGTTTCAGAAAGAGAAGGAGAGAAAGCTCATCAGTTTACTACTTTTCCTGAACTTTCCAGTTTCTTTTGGCCTCTGAAAACCAGAATAGAGTCTTTTATGCCTAAGATTAAAAACATCTGGTCATCTCATTTGAGTAAGGCTGGGCTGAAGCGGGCCAAAGCCAGGTGGCAAGGCCTGCCTCCTTGAATTACGGAATTTTGAGCAATGAATGGGGCTAAAAGTTACTAAATCCCACCTCTTTGTTTTACAGATAGGAAAACAAGCCCAGAGAGGTTTGGACTTGCTCAATGTCACACGTCTTATAAGTGTCAGAGGTGAGGCCGGAACCCAAGAGATTCCTGGGAGAATCTCACTCAGTCTACCACCCTTCACATGTACCCAAGCACAGGGAGGACTGAGTATTTTTAAAAAATAAAATGTTTCTAAATATTCTTAATTCCTCTATTCGACACACCCAGCTATTTCCACCTTTGCATATTCCCACCCAGATCTTATCCACCAGGTATACCTCTCCACATATTCTTCCTCAGGAAAAGAGAGAGACACGTGTTTACAGAGCCCCTGCTACAATGCCAGGTGTTTTCTCAACATTTCCTCGTCGAATTTTTACAGCAATACTATATAAGGGATGCACTATTCTACCTGCTCCACGGAGGATGAAATCGAGATGACAGACACTCTTGCCCAAGGTCACGCGGCTGGAAAGTGGTGGAGTCAGGATGCGATCCGGATCTCCCAGATGCCACGACACCACCCTGCCACAGCTGCTGTGCGCGTCACACTTTCCATCTTCACGCTTGCCCACTGTTGAAATTACGACCTAGTTTTCGTAATTATTACTTTTGTGGATGCATTCCTTCATTCACTATTGACTGACTACATGGCTACTCTGTGCCAGGCTCAGTCAATACACTGAAAAATAGAGTACTGAGCAGTATACACGAGTCCCTGCTCTCACCGAGCACAGCTTCCACAGGGAGAGTCAGACAGTAAGGCAAAGAAATAAGTCGGATAGGGAGGAAGAAAGCGAGGATGGGGACTAGGAAATGCCTGTTTCCTAATGACCATCCTAAGTAAGATGGTCGGGGAAAGAAAGTTCCTCTGTGACATGTAAGCTGAGATCTGAAGGTGGTGAGGGAACAAGCCAGACGGATATGTGGGAGAAGAGCGAGTTCAAAGTCACTGAGGCAGGGGGAGACCTGGCCTGTTCAGGAAACAGTCAGGCCAGCGTGGCCAGGGAGGAGCGCAGGAGGAAAAGCAGAATGAGAGCCAGACAGAGAGTGGGAGGGGCCAGAGGAGGCGGGGCCAGAGGAGGCGGGGCCAGAGGAGGCGGGGCCCCGGGCCAACAGAAGACACCTGCTTCGATATCAAATGGGAGAGGACTTGTGGACACTTCTGAATAGAGGATGGATACGTTTACGCTTCCTAAAGTGTTCCTACGACTGCTGCGTTGAGAATAGACCAGGGACTGAGGAACAAGGGGGAAAGCAGAAAGACCAGTTGGGAGGCCATCGCAATAATCCAGGCGAAAGACCGTGTGACTTGGACCAGGGGTGGTAGAGAATGCGGTGATGAGCGATGCACTTCGGGGTATATTTTGACAATAGAGCCGGTATGACAACCTGCCCTCTTTCCACATCATGGTGTCACAAGCATTTATTTTAGAGATGCAGGTTGTCCCAGCTGGTGCTATTACAGGTAACATTCTCATTAACAATACCACTCACGCTTTTTGTGTGTCTGATTGCCTTGGGATAAACTTATCAGGAGCTGGATGATGAGTCCGAGAAAGTAAGCATCCCTGGGCCTGTTGCTACATGTCGTAGGTCTGCAGCAGGCTCCGTCGACGGTGCCTTTAAGAGCTTTCATTTTAAATGCTCCAGAATCCCTCCCCTGCCCTCGGCATCGCTAACCCTCTCTCTCACTATGGTTTTCTTCTTTTTCTCCCTCTCCTCCCTCTCCTTCTGGAGAACTAATAAAGGGGCAGGGTAACGAAGACGGACAAAGGTTAGGGCCGGCCACAGAGAGAGGCAAGAAAAGACAGGGAGGAATTCATTTTTTTTCTTGCCTTGCAGCTCTGAGAAAGAGCCAGCTGCTTCCCTTAGTCAGATGAGAATCTTCTTCTGTAAGAATCAACAAACTAACAAGACTGCTTACTTAGAGACCTTTTTTTTTTTCCCCCTTCTGGGGAGATCAATGGACTTAACAATTTCAATTATCTGTCACAATGTCCCCTGGTGCTGGATCAAACTGCCTCCTCTGAACAAACATTCCTCTCACCACGGTGGGCAGTTTGCCAAGCTTTCTGGTTTCTTTATTCCCCTCCTCTGGCAGTTGGGTCCCCCTTTCCGAGGACCTCCCTGCTTCCCCCAACTCCAAATTCCATTTGCTCCGTCCTCCTTATCCAATTTCATCCTTAATATGGAAGAAAAGATTTTAATCATTAAAAGTGGGGGGTTTTCTTAGGAATTTCAGGATCTGTTTGTCTATCTCTGCTGATCCTAAAATTCATATGGAAATGCAAGGGACTCAGAATAGCCAGATGATTTTGAAAAGGAACAAAGTCGGCGGACTCATGCTTCCTGATTTCCCAGCGCACTGAAAAACGGCAGGAATCGAGACGGTGTGGGACTGGCATTAGGACAGACACACAGATTGATGGGACAGAATTAAGAATCCACAAACAAATCCTAACAGTTACAGTCAATTGATTTTGACAAAAAGGCCAAGAGCACCGAATAGAAAAAGAATCACCTTTTCAACAAATGGTGCAGGGAACATCCACACGCCAAAGAATTAGTTTGGACCGCGCCCAAATACCATACACAAAAAAAGTTAACTCAGGACGGATCACAGACCTAAATGGAGGAGCTGAAACTATAAGACCTTTAGAAGAAAACATGGGAGTCGGTCTTTGTGACTTGGAGTTAGGCAACATCTCAGATACGACACCCAAAGCACGAGGGACGAAAAAAAATAAAAAGATAAGTTGAACTTCATTGAAATTAAAACTTTGGTGTTTCAAAGGACACCATGAAGCGAGTGGAGGGACAACCCATGGAATAGGAGAAAATATTTGCAAATGATAAATCTGATAAAATATTAAAAATTCTTACGATGCGATAATAAAAAGACAAACAATGCTGTTTTAAAAATGGGCGATTATAATAGACATTTTTCCAAAGAAAATATATGAATTGCTAATAGGCACCTGGAAAGTTATTAGGGAAATGCAAATCAAAATCACAGTGAGATACCACTTCTCATCCACTAGAATGGCTATAATTTTAAAGAGTGGACAATAACGAGGTGTGGTGAGGATGTGGAGAAATCGGAACCCTCATCCATTGCTGATGGAAAAGTGAAGTGGTCAGCCACTTTGGTGAACAGTTTGGCAGTGGCTCTAAATGCTAAAAATAGAGTTACCGGGTGAGCTAGCAATTCCAACCCTAGGTATCCGCCCAAGAGAAATGCAAACATACGTCCACACAAAGACTGGTATGGGAATGTTCACGGTGGCTTTCTTTGTGTACTCAAAAATGGAAACAAACCAACTGATGAATGAATAAACAAGATGCGATGTAGCTATACAATGATATATTATTTGGCAATGAAAAGGAATGAGTGTAGACACACGCTACAATATGGATGAACCTCGAAAAACATTATGCAAGGTGAAAGAAGCCAGTCACAGAAGACCACCTATCATGGGATCTCGTTTATGTAAGATATTTAGAACAGGCAAATCCAC